CTCCACATCATCGAGGCAGGTGATCGAGGACCTCCCGTTCGATGCCCTGGGACTCTTCAACGCTGGGACGGATGACAAACTGAAGTCAAACCACGACTTCAAGACCTTGGCTTCAAAGTGCGGGTTTGAGAACCAGAACCAGGCTCAAAGAACCAGATGGTTCCAATACAAACGCCGGCACACGGTCCCGTACCGTACCATACAGTACCGCCATCCAGTCCGTCCTCTGCAGACCTCCCAGCAAACCCACCCTCAACAACCCCAACAGCAGCGGAGGCAGCATCAGCAGCAGCGTTCGCGCTCTCGTCAGGCTTCAGGAAGCAACCAGGCCAGGCGCCGCATTTGACGCGCTGGCGGACGATACCGTTTGCAGTTCCGTTACCAATGTTGTTCCCATGTCCCTCCCAATGGTACCCGCCCTCATCCTTCCATCCGGCTCGACACCGTTCGGAGACCGCCTGACAAACTTTCTCCCTGCATGGGAAAATATCACCTCAGATGCATGGGACTTCTTCGCGTCCGTCGACCTCCAGGACACCTATTTCCATCTTTCCATCAGAAAACATCACAGGCGCTTCCTGGCCTTCAGGGTAGCGGGGCAGACGTACGTGTTCAACGTCCTCCCTTTCGGTCTCGTGACGGCACCAAGGACCTTCACAAAATGCATGTCGGTGGTCGCAGCGGCCCTCAGAAGGGAAAAAATCCGCATTTTTCCTTACTTAGACGACTGGTTGTTGGCAGCGCACTCCCCGGACCTTCTGCGAGCGCAGGTAGCAAGGACACTTTCTCTCCTCGAGGACTTGGGCCTCCAGTTAAACGAGGAGAAATCCCACCTCAAGCCCACCACTTGCATAAAGTTCATCGGCGCCATGTTCGATTCTCTCTCCCAGACAGTCTTCCTTCCGGAGGAGAGGTTCAGGGCTCTTCGAGCCGAAACACTCAAAGTCCGCCGCTCCCGTGTGGTCCCGGCGAAGCAGATACAAGTCCTCCTCGGGCACATGGCTTCCACGGTGATGGTAACGCCATTGGCAAGACTCCGCTTCCGCCCCCTCCAGAGATGGTTCTTGGACCACTTCAACCCCATGCGGGACAGTGCCGCGAAGCGCCTGCTGGTACCGAAGTCGGTAAAGGACTCTATGAACTGGTGGATGAACCGCCAGCATGTCTGCAAGGGCATTCCCTTTCACCCAGAGCCCCCGGTCGTCACGATCACGACGGACGCTTCGATGTTCGCATGGGGATGCCATACAGGAGACCTCTCAGTACACGACCTCTGGTCTCCTCAGGAAAAACAGTTCCACATCAACTACTTGGAACTACTAGCAATCTTCAAGGCCCTGAGGGTGTTTGCCCTCCTGATCATGGGAAAGTCTGTCCAGATCCTCACGGACAACATGGTGGCAATGTTCTACGTGAACAAACAGGGAGGAACGGGCTCGAGAAAACTTCTCAAGCTGTCACTAGAACTTTGGGACTGGTGTGTAGCCAGGTTGGTGTCGATAACAGCCTTACACCTCCCGGGCGAAGTCAATGTCGAGGCGGACGCACTGAGCAGAACCAAGGCGACATCCCACGAGTGGAGGTTGAACCCCGACGTCCTGGCGGAGATCTTCAGGGAATGGGGCCTCCCGGCCGCAGATCTCTTCGCGTCGCCGCAAAACGCTCAGCTTCCTCAGTTCGGTGCTCGACTTGCTCCGAACACGGTACCGGGATGTCTCGGAGACGCGTTCCTGTTGGACTGGTCGAGGCATCTGCTCTACCTCTTCCCTCCCTTCCCGCTCATCCCGAGGGTGATCGAGAAGATCCAGTTGGCGCAGACGAACTGCATCTTAGTAGCACCGGAATGGCCACGACAACCGTGGTTCTCGGTCCTGCTCCAACTGTCCGAGGGACGGATGAAGCGTCTTCCACTTCGGCAGGATCTGCTCTCCCGGGAAGACGGTCAACTTCTCCACCCCGACCTTGCCTCTCTGCATCTTTCGGTGTGGAGGATCCGATGTTGAGATCCCTGTGTCCAGGAGTTCTTCAGATCCTAGAGGCAGCCCACAAGCCAGCGACCAAGAGGTGCTACTCGGCGTGTCTCGCCCGCTTCCAGGCCTTCCTCTCTGAGAAAGGCCTAGACGTTCATCGGCCTTCGGTACCGACAATTCTCTCGTTCTTGCTGCACCTTACCGAACGAGGTTTGTCGCTGTCGTCACTCAAGTCCCACTTGGCAGCCATATCGTGGCAACTTCAACGGACAGGAGAGGCCTCCTTGTTTAGGGAGAGCTCTGTGAGATCTTTCCTGCGAGGCTTCAACAACCTACATCCCCCGGTCCGTTCTCCGACTCCGGGTTGGGACCTCGACCTCGTGCTGGCTCGGCTCGCGCAACCGCCTTTCGAGCCATTGTCTTCAATTGAACTTCGGTTGTTGTCCTGGAAGGTGGCCTTCCTGGTCACTATCACCTCGGCCCGCCGGCCGTCGGAACTGGCGGCATTGCGGGTGGACGAACCCTACTTCGTTGTCCACGAGGATAGAGCAGTTCTCCGCACAGATGTGACATTCCTTCCTAAAGTGGTATCCCCCTTCCATGTTAATGAGGACATTGTCCTTCCCTCGTTGTGTCAGTCCCCTTCTACCCCGAGGGAGAGGAGACTTCATATGCTCGATGTGCGGAGAGCATTGTTGTGTTATAGGAACAGGACTGCTCAGTCTCGACGGACACAGAGACTTTTTGTTGCATATGCCCTCGATAAACTGGGCTTGCCGATCACGGCGCAACGCTTGTCGCACTGGATCACATCGACCATCGAGCTTTGTTACCAACTGGCTCGACAACAACCCCCTTCGGTCATCCGGGCTCGGTCGACCAGGGCTATGGCGGCATCGACAGCCTTTCTTAAGGGATTCCCCTGGACGCTATCTGCAAAGCGGCCATTTGGAAGAATCCTCAGACATTTGTGTCGCATTATAGACTGAACACCAGGTATACACCTGACATGGCCTTTGGGAGGGCAGTTCTGGGCTCATGCCCGCCTTAAGCTTTGCAAAGTGTTCTATCGGTACCGAGTGTTCCTTCGATACCGTGTGTTACTGTGAATGTTATTACCATGTGTTACTTGAAGTTTTTTGCCGGTGAATGTAACTGCACCTTTACACTTGATGCCTTACTGCCTGAGGCGCAGGCAACCATTGCACTATGGCCTAATGGGCTCATCACGGGTATTCTATGTCTTTATTGGTGGCTTTGCCTTGCATATGTATGGTGCACTTGTTAACAAGTTGTTTCTTGTATTACTATCTGATGTGCCCTCATTATAATGAGTGTCTTCAATAATCACCATGTGTTTATTTCAAGGGTCGAAAGTTTACTCAGTTATTGGTCACCCTCACGTGAGCGGGAGGATCATGTACTCCCATACGTTTATGCACTGTGCCCTTCTTTGGAAGTGATTACAACCTCTTGTTATGCATTGTGCCCTTCTTCGGAAGTGATTACTCTCTCTTGGTGGTAACTGTTTTTGCACTTAATAAAATTGTTTGGCCCTTGATTTCAATGGTTGGTTTGCTTACTTCCCGCCTCCGGGACCTGAGCTTGCTAGTCTCCACAAGTGTGCATTCGCAGAGACCACGAAGAAAAATGGTAGGTTACATACCTGTGACCATCTTTCTTCGAGTGGTGCTCTGCGAATTCACACTAACCCGCCCAGCCTCCCCTCTAGCAAACCTCCAATTTCTCGCTACCGTAGCGGCGTAGGAATTGGATCGGTGTGCGCGGGGCACCCTTTTATCCCCTGCCGGGGCTGG